TCTGCCCCGTGACCTCCTGCCAGCGGGCGTTCGACACTCAAAGTGCACATGGCCTGGCACAAGCGGTGTGGTGACGTCACCGCCACTTAGTGGCGAATGGCGGTTGTTGCCTTTGTAGATGTGCATGTGTTCACGTGTGCAGGTGTTTAATCCGAAAGGCGCGGTGAAGAAGGATGAGGAGCTGAGTGGACTTGCCGATGACTGCTACAGGCAGAGAGGCTCGTGAAGGACGCTGCTGCTGCTGCTGGGCAGTTGGAGGCAGTCACCCTCCAGCAACAATGGAGGGAAAGAGGAGTGACGCTCACAACAACGAGCGGAGCGTCGGGCAGCTAAAACGCAGCGAGGCAGCATGGTCAGGGGGCCACAGCTGCTGGTGCATCTGCCAGTTGTTTCAGTGAACCCGTGGCACCTGCTGGGCCTGTCCCACGACTTCCTGCCAACGAGTCGTCGACACTTCACGTGGCCTCGTGGCGCACCTAGTCTGACACAGGCGCCTTGGTGACGTCACCACCACTTCATGGCGCAAGGCTGCTACTGTTGTTGTTGTTGCCGTTGCGTGTGTGGGAGTGTGGGAGTGCGAGGAGAGCAGACGCGCGTGCACTTCGCCGCTTGATTTTGATCACCGTACCCGTTTCCGGAAAGAGGTTTCATAATATAATCTATTCTGAGCCGCTCCCTAGGTCGACTCAGCTTTCAAAGCGTGAGCCTGGTGCGGTGTGTGATGTAAGCCACCCACCCCCTCGTTTCCCGTCCCGGCTTTCATAGGTGCTCGCGAACAGCACTTGCCCCTACAGTCTGTTAAGGCTATATGGGGGATCTTTGTCTTTGGTGGTGATGCTGGCGAAGGTGGTGGTGAAGGTAGTGGTGGCAATCGAAGCTTAACGCGACTCCCATCAGGGTGTGTACGAAGATGCTAGCGGCTGTTTGCACACTGCTGGCATGTGTGCGAGCTCGGTTTGCCTGTACGAATGGGCCATCTGTTCCACCGAACCTAAAGAAAGTGCGCAATCCTGTCCCAAAATAAGTGGCGCCTTGTTCCCAGGTTTGCGTCAGGGTGAGGTGTGGCTGCCCCCCGTCTCCACAAGGCCGATAGTGTTCACGCCACACTGGCATTGGGACAAACACGTGGTTTTGATCACCAGCAACACTAGCACCACCAGCACCGCCAGTACCACCACCAGCGCCACCACCAACACAGCACCATCACCACTACCACCAACAACACAAACACCACCACAACCACCGCCACTGCCCTTCGTCTAGCTGTCACCTCTGAAGTACAAAATAAAGACTGGGACATATAATGGGAAGTAGAAGATTTCTCCAGAATACCAGAGGAGGGGAGGAGCACACGTGAACAATTCACCAGGCTGGTCAGCACGGGTTGGCGAAGGCAGGAGGCACACGTCGAGGAAGCATGGAAGTACAGTCAAACACAAAAATGGGTTTTGCTGCACTGGCTCTCTGCTGCCCACCACCGAGGCCTGCATCTGCCTATGATAGCCAGGCACGCACAGGGAGTCACCAGCCCACACGCAGCCCAGGCTCAGCCCTGCTTAGCTCTGAGCGAACCGGCCGGAACGCACCACTCACTCCGGGAGCAGAGCAAACGGCAGCCCCTCAACGCGTCAACAAAGCGAGTCACGCCGCCACAACACAGCGCACACTTTGTGTAATGCTCGGACACGATCCAGAAACAACAAAAAATAAAGGCTTGAAAATAGAAACTACCGTAGCCGTCCGTTCCCTTCACGTTGGAGGTTTGCATACAATCAGGGCTGAATTACAGAACCCGGCACACCACATCCTGTATACCTCTCACGATGGCTGTGGCTGCTACAAGTCCACTGAGCTATGTCGCTCCTTATCAGAAGCGACCTGGCCACAAATGATCGCTCAACGATTAGACTTATCACGTGGAAATTCTAGCCGCCAAATACCATCAACGCCTGTTTCTAATTGTGGAGGGAAAAACCAGAGGACCCGGAGAACAATCCACACGACCACGGGGAAAACATGCAAACTCCAAGTATACAAGCGTCAGGGTCGGGATCGAACCCACAAATTCATGTCTGGTATACCAGGTGAGGCAGTAACATCTCGCCACCGTACCAGAGACTCAAAAAATGTGTCCACCCCTTGCACACCTCTCGCTATGTCTGTGGCCGCCACTAGCCACATGCCACCCACCCCACTCTACGAGCGACCCGGGAAATCTTGGGTGGAAAGGTAAGCCCCGCACACAACCGTGAAAAGAGTCGGTGGCTGACGAGTCGGCTGGCAACTTGAAGAGCTCCCTATTTAGAATGGGGACGAGCGGCAGGTGCGGAGGCGCTTGGTGACGACAGCGTCAACACGAAGCTGAGCTCGCTCGTGCAGCCCGCCGGAGCCAGCCAGGTGTCTAGACGCCCGTCATGGTTGTGAGTCAGTGGCTTGGTCATGGTTGGAGTGCGGGACTTGTTTGAGGTTGTAGTTATAGACATGCTTAGGGTCATAGTTACAGGCCATGTGTATGATTCGGGATATGGGTAGAGACTTGCTAAGGATTAGGGTAAGCGTTACAGGCATGTGTAGGGTTATGGTTAGAGATGAATTTACGGTTATAGAGACATGGCTAAGGGTTAGAGTTACAGGCATGTGTATGATTAGGGATATAAATAGAGGCTTGTTTGCTACTGTTGATTAGATATGGGGTTGGCTGAGAAGATAGGGTTATAGGTAAGATAGGGTTATAGGTAAGATAGGGTTAGAGGTTAGATAGGGTTACCGGGAGGGATTCTGTGTGTTTAGGGTTAATAGTCAGGATTAGGGTCAGCCTGTACATTCTTCCACAAGTGTCGGCCAATGTGAGAGGGTGGCGGAGCGGTGGCACGGCGGTTAGCGCAGCGCTCGACGAAGCCCGGCGACGCGACCTCGGTTCGATTCCCAGCCACGGCTACCATCAGTGGCGAGGGAAATCCGAACCATTCCTGGGTCTCCCCTGCCAGACCACCTTGAAACAAAACCGCACGAAGCAGTGTGGTGAAATATGGACAAACGACTTTCACAACCTGCAAGTGGATTGAAAAAGCGGCCGGACCATTCGACACTGCTGTGCGGGTGTCACGGTGGCGAGATGTTAACTACCGCGCCAGTCCTTCCCCCCAAGCACCTCCAACGAGCAGGGATGGCTGCACGTACGGTGCGAAAGAAGTTCAACATGCATACAGGAGGCCGTGGGTTCGATTCCAACCCTGGCGCCTGTATATTTGGAGTTTGCGGTGTGGTCTCGTGGATTTCTCTCCCGGGTCCTGCGGTTTTCCCCTCCACATTTAGCATCAACAACGTCACGCGTGTAAAGCGTCTGGCTGCTGTACATTTGCACGTGACGATAAGCCACTTTGTCGAGCTGTGATTGCCAGGCCGCTTCTGAACAATAGCTACAGAGCTCAGTGGGGCCTCACCTGGTAAAATACTAAACATGTAGTTTAGTTTAGTGCATTATACTGGGGTTTGTCGAATGAACAGGTAGGAAGCTACTGTGACGTGTGAGTGCAATCGCCGACAGGCAGAGCACAGACGCGTTTACGTAACAGCAGCTACAGCCGCCGTGACGTCACCACGGTGCCTGTGCCAGACTATGTGCACCTTCCAGGTGCCAGGAGGCGATCGTAGGTAACGGGGTGAACCGACTCGACGGCTTGGCAGATGCACCGCATGAGCTGCCCACTGTTGCCAGCTTTGACTCAAGACACGCACAGACAGAGACACCGTCACAGGAACACGGGGGCCAGGGCTGGTCATGGAGAGAGCAAGGAGGCGGAGAAGGGGAACTTGGGGGAAAGATGAGGTAGGGGAGAGGGAGACACGAGACACGGGGAGAGGGAGACACGGGGAGAGGGAGACACGAGACACGGGGAGAGGGAGACACGGGGAGAGGGAGACACGAGACACGGAAGAAGGGAAACACGAGACACGGGGAGGGGGGGCACGGGGAGAGGGGGGGGGCACGGGGAGAGAAACACGGGGGGAGGGAGACACGAGGCAGGGGAGAGGGGAGACACGGGGAGAGGGAGACACGGGGGGAGGGAGAGGCACGGGGAGAGGGGAGACACGGGGAGAGGGGAGACACGGGGAGAGGGAGACACGGGGAGAGGGAGACACGGGGAGAGGGAGACACGGGGAGAGGGAGACACGGGGAGAGGGGAGACACGGGGAGAGGGGAGACACGGGGAGAGGGAGGACACGGGGAGAGGGGAGACACGGGGAGAGGGGAGAGGGAGACACGGGGAGAGGGAGACACGGGGAGAGGGAGACACGGGGAGAGGGGAGACACGGGGAGAGGGGAGAGGGAGACACGGGGAGAGGGAGACACGGGGAGAGGGGAGAGGGAGACACGGGGAGAGGGAGACACGGGGAGAGGGAGACACGGGGAGAGGGGAGAGGGAGACACGGGGAGAGGGGGAGAGGGAGACACGGGGGGAGGGGAGACACGGGGAGAGGGAGACACGGGGAGAGGGGAGAGGGAGACACGGGGGGAGAAAGATGTAAACAAGAGAGGGGAGACACGGGGACAGTGGAGTTGGTAACGTTTGGGAAGGAGGAGGAGGAGACAGGGAGGGAGAGTAGGAAAGCGAAATAAGAGAGAGTGAGACACATGGGGAGACAGGGGTTAGAGACGAGGGAGACGAGTGAGACGGGGGGCACGGGGAGACAGGGGCTGGAGACGAGTGAGACGGGGAGACAGGGAGACAGGGGCTGGAGACGAGTGAGACAGAGCACACGGGAGACAGGGAGACAGGGGCTGGAGACGAGTGAGACGGGGAGACAGGGGGATAGGGGTTAGAGACGAGTGAGACGGGGAGACAGGGAGACAGGGGCTGGAGACGAGTGAGACGAGTGAGACAGAGCACACGGGAGACAGGGAGACAGGGGTTAGAGACGAGTGAGACGAGTGAGACGGGGCACACGGGAGACGCCGAGGACACGCGGGCCGGGCGATGCGCGGCCCCCCGACTCACCTCGCCGCGCTCCGCCCCGCAGCCCCAGGCGGCACCGGCCCCGGGTCCCCGTGTCGGGGTCGTCCCCCTCGCCCCGACCGCCCCTCACCCGGGCCGCGTCCCCCCACAGCTCAGGCCCACGCGGCCACAGGCCCCGAGCATCCCTGACGCTGTCGCCGCAATCACCCAGCTCGCTCCTGCTGCTGCTGCTGCCGCCGCTGCTGCTGCTGCCCCCAGCGACGCGACACGAGAATAACAACGCGCCTCTCTCGCCTCTCTCGCCCATCACCTCCCCTCCCCGCCCCCCTCAATCAACCTCCCCTCTCCTCCCCCTCCATCACCTCCCCTCTCCTCCCCCTCCATCACCTCCCCTCTCCTCCCCCCTCCATCACCTCCCCTCTCCTCCCCCTCCATCACCTCCCCTCTCCTCCCCCCTCCATCACCTCCCCTCTCCTCCCCCTCCATCACCTCCCCTCTCCTCCCCCCTCCATCACCTCCCCTCTCCTCCCCCCTCCATCACCTCCCCTCCCCCTCCATCACCTCCCCTCTCCTCCCCCTCCATCACCTCCCCTCTCCTCCCCCCTCCATCACCTCCCCTCCCCTCCCTCTCCCCTCCCCTCCCTCTCCCCTCTCCTCCCCTCTCCCTGCACGGCGCTGCCCACAGCGGCCCCTCTCATCCCTCCAATCGCCGCCGCCTCCCCTCGCGAGGATCCCTCCCAACGCCCACACGGGGAGACGCGACAACGCTGTGGGATTGTGGTGGGAAACGTTGGACCAACGTGGTATCCCATCATCTCCATCTACCCCTCTGATCATTCCCATCGTCTCAAGACTTCCAAACACCCCCCATCACCCCACCACGTCCCTCCCCTCACCCCGTTCCCAGCCATCGCCTTCAAATGTGCACTGATTGAAAGGACGTTTATTTTCAATGCGCAATGCTCCGCTGCTTGTCGTCTCATCGAGCTTTACGGCGCTGCCACGACGTACAAGTGCCGTGGTGGCTAGGAGATGTTGACTACCTCGCCTGGTACACAGGAGATGTTAACTACCTCGCCTGGTGTGCAGGAAGTCGTGGGTTCCATCCCGACCCTGACGCCTGCTGCTGTGTATTTGAAGATTGCGGTCTCTCTCGCTCTCACCGTGGTCGCGTGGGTTTTTCTCTCCGGGTCCTCCGGTCTATTCCTTCACATTATAAACATTACGCGTTTTAGAGTCTTTGTCTTTGAGTTGTGCGCCTTTTGGCGTCATCTGGTCCAACCCATGTGAGACTAGGCTCTAAGGAAAGCTGTCTCGGGTGTGGACCAATCAACTTCAAGGACAGTGCATATATTATCAGAGTTATGTTTTTGTTTGCATTATGGCTGCAGGTATTGTGGTCTATGCAAACATGACTCCTTGTAAAAAAAGGTGTCAGTTTTGTTGCCAGATAGAAGGGTAAAAAACCAATTATTGCGTTTTAGAGTGTTTGGCTGCAATACATTGACACTCGATAAGCCACTTCATTTGGCAATCATTTGTGGCCAGGTTGCTTCTGAAAAAGAGCTACATAGCTCAGTGGGCCTTACCTGGTGAAATAAACATAGTTTACCGTACGATTATATATAAGCACATGTAACCGGTTCTGGCCAACGCATTGCCAATGCTTAAAAACAATTACCTGCCAAATGACTCAATTGGCATTACAACAACGGCAGTAGAATCGCCTCCCTCCTACTCCGAAAACTTGGCAGGAACCTTCTGCAAAAAGTAATCTCGAGACTCGGTGAGGATTATCTGGGTAACCAACCATAACACAGGAATAATTGTTATTGTTATAAGGCACCAACTATGATCGTGTCATTCGTATATTGTGACTGCTGCGGGTCTCCCAATTGTGTGTGTTTTTTTTTTCTCCAAATGCGAAAGAACGATCTAAATCCGTGGTTATATTGACCTGGGGTACATCACACACTACCTTGGGGGTGCATGATGCCCTCTCTGGGGGTGCGGGACATGGCCACATTGTATTTTAGAAGGTAAATAATCGAAAACACAAATTAAGCACGGACACGTAAGCACAACAACTACTTTGTTTCATCAAACCCTCTGTATTTATTAACATTGTACATTTTTTTACTATTGAGAACCAAAGGGGTGCAAGGCTGCAGTGAAGGTGAAGAACCACTGCTCTAAATGAACAGCAATTTCACCCACGACGTCGGAACTCTTCGTAGTGACTGGCAGCCTTGTGCATCATCGCTGATATGTGGAGTTCCCAGGCTCACAGCGTCGACCGGATGGCAGCCGAATAACTTTTGAGTAAATCCTCATGAGCACTGCAAGTAACAGCAAAGCAACACGACACGCACGCGAACATAAAAACCGTGAGAAATGCAATATACACTACAGTACTGTCATATGGTAGGACTGTTTACGTTCTCAATGTACCTCTAGATCCACCACCGCACTTATGGTCACAACAACTCACCCACCCACTCACTCACCGACTCACCCACTCATCCACTCACTTACCCACTCACTCACCGACCCACTCACTCGCCCACTCACTCGCCCACTCACTCGTCCACTCACCCACTCACTCATCCACTCACCCACTCGCCCACTCACTGATTGACTCACTCACTCCTACTCAGGCTCCCACCCACTCACCCACTCACCACACTGCAGGTCACAACAACCCACCCACCCACCTACTCACTCACTCCTACTGAGGCCCCCACCAAACCTCACTTTCCTTTCTGCTTCTGCCCACACTGATCGCTGAGAAATTCCCCTCCCATTATCATCATCATCGTCGTCTCTTTTCCCCAAGATCTTTTACAACAACAATAATAATCATAACTTTGGCCAATTCAATCAACGCGTTCAGTTACTCATATGCATATTAGAGCTTTGATGGTGCTGTTCGTTGCTGTCCGATTGACGTTGCTGGCTGTTGGCCCCTGTGCTCGGCAACTGTGTACACAAATAGCGTAACTTTATAACGGAACGGATTAAAGCTCACTGAAGCCCTTTGAGCAAGACAACAATTACCTCTGTTGCCAGCACAGCTCGCAATAATCGGCGCGCGTGAAATGTGATGGCTTGCTCCAGAGTTGTGAATGGCAGGAGTGTGAACAAGAGGAGCTCAGTATTTTGAGAAGAGCACACCCGCTGCTGCACGCACAGCCAGTGGTCTCACTGAAGCCGGAGTCGTCTGGGGCTACTCTCTGTTTCGGTGGCTTGAAGGTTTAGTGGTGGTGGTGGTGGGGCGGAGGGGGGGAGTTGGGCGGGGGGGGGGAGTTCGGCGGGGGTCGTCCAGAAAATATTCCTAGAGGAATTAAGCCGTGTTTGTCATTCATCCACTGCTGGATGATTAGGGCCTCCCCACGCCCTAAGGGTCATGGTGGTTATATACGATGGCAAGCAGCAGTAAACCGAACATTTCCGATCATTGCGCATTGGACCGTATGGTTAAACCACTACGGTCTGCGCTCCTTCAACGGAAGAGGAGGAATAGCAGAACTACACGAACTCTCTCCTGAAGCACCCTCGCCGTGGCCAGAAGATATCACCCTAACTGTTGAACACATTGTCATCATACACAATAATCTAATTGCATATTGACAGCTGTGACCCATCGGCTGTGTAGGTATGCGTGTATCTTGAACTTCTTTCGCACCGTACGTAGCCAACCGCACTCGTCGGAGGTGCGTGGGAAGGACATCAAACCAAAGAGAAGTTCACTGTCCGTGGCGAGAGACACGGACAGTGAAACCCCCATGGACTTGAGCATTCCGCAAGGAAGGCTGGACAGATGCAAGCCAGAAATTACACTGGGAAGTCTGGGAGACAGTGTCAAGGGCATTGGTCAGGGTCACATCGTGGCTTAGACGGGGGGCGATGGCTGAGGGACGATACTGTTTATGGAATGCGTGAGGTATTCACACACTTCTTATAGCGCAACGGCGATGACGTCGGCGCTACGTTTGACAGGTGTGTTGAAGTCTGCCAGTAGGGGGGGCGATGTTGCTCCGTGATTTAGTTTTTTTACCCAATTGAGTAACTTGTGGGGTCGTTTTCAGATTTGTCAAATTTGGACCCGTGACACCGAAGCACAATGGCCTGCTGTTGCGTGTTCAACACAAGTACCCTGTGTGTGTGTGGTTAACGCACTAACTTGATTCATGTGCGTGTGGTTAACGCACTAACTCGATTCATGTGTGTGTGGTTAACGCACTAACTCGATTCATGTGTGTGTGGTTAACGCACTAACTCGATTCATGTGTGTGTGGTTAACGCACTAACTCGACTCATGTGCGTGTGGTTAACGCACTAACTTGGTTCATGTGTGTGTGGTTAACGCACTAACTCGACTCATGTGCGTGTGGTTAACGCACTAACTCGATTCATGTGCGTGTGGTTAACGCACTAACTTGGTTCATGTGTGTGTGGTTAACGCACTAACTCGATTCATGTGCGTGTGGTTAACGCACTAACTTGATTCATGTGCGTGTGGTTAACGCACTAACTTGGTTGCTTGCAAAAGGTTTCTGTTTGGTGTTTGAATATCCTAACACACCTCCTGTTTTATTGCCAGAAAGGGTCACACCTAGTCTTATGTTTTCATATTTTGATACTGGCAAAAAGGTCCCGTTTCGTAGCTGCTCACTCCGAGCTATACATCCCCTGATAGTGGCATTTTATTTGTGCTGTTCGCCTTTTGGCGTTCTTTGCTCTGATACTGGTGAGACGAGGCAATGTTTATATTATCAGAGCATGTTTTGTTTGCATGTTCGCCACAAGTACGTGTGTGTGGTTAATGCAGACTTATAGACACGTTGCAAAATGTTTCTATTTGGCGTTTGAACATCTTAACACGTGTTTTATAAAACCTACTCTTGTTTTTTCATACTTTGATACTGGCAATAAGGTCCCATTTTGGCCTGCTACTCATTTACGAAAAAAACGTCGAGGGGTCTGTGAAAGGCCCCCACTGTGAAGGAGACGCCGCGGTCAGTTTGTTCAAAGCATCCGCAGTTATTTACCAGGACGGCCGCGAGTTTATTTTTATTTTTTCCACCACAAACTTCGTCAACAAGCGGCAAAGGCGCTCCCGCTCGAGAGCACGTGCCCCCAGTCCCACACCCCCAGCGGGAGCGATGCGATCAGCTCGTTTGCAAGACGCGACACGGATTGCGGAA